CTTTATCTACTGCGGAACGTCCTCAGAGAACCTTTATCTACTGCGGAACGTCCTCAGAGAACCTTTATCTACTGCGGAACGTCCTCAGAGAAACTTTATTGTTGTCAGTTGCTGTCAGCAGGCTGTTTGAGTCTCGTGGTGCGTTCAAGTTCCACTTTTTAATTAGAGATATGAATCATCAGGGGGTGTCGGAGCTTTTTCTGGAAGCTGGTCAGTCTGTCTGTCCAATCAGACGTCAGCGCAGTAATATTAGGACGTGTCTGTGAGTGTTTGCTTCATGTGAACGGCGTCCTGTCAGCAGCTACACTTCCTGTCCCACCAGGAATAGAAACCCTGACTGACACCAGAAACCGCACTCACACTGACCACATCTGCTTTACACTGAACTTCCTCTGACAGTCCACAGTTTCTGTTTCTCTTCAGGTGTCGGCTGCACTTTAACTTTTCCATCTAATTATTGATTAATTATCAATAATAAATTGACTAACTATCAATACAACACGTTTTGTTGCTGTTAACTTAATACAAAAGAAAATAGTGATAATTTCCTTCTTTAAGTAATTGAAAATGTTAAGAATGAAGACGTAGTTCTCTGTTGAACTGATGATAACGGTGATGTGAAGCTGTATGAATATATATGTTTATCCACAGTTACATTTATATTCTTTATACTGTACAAAGTTTCAGGATTATTTTAGTTACATATAAATGTCAAAGTAAATTTGACTTGACTGTAAAACCTGATAAAAAGGGAACAGAATCAAACTTGATGTTAAAAGCAGAAGTTGACGTCAGAGTTAGAGACGGTTGTTGTTTTTATTAAATGATCTGTGATTGATTTCTCAGTTTAATTGGATCAATAATAGGGTACCTTTAGTCAGCATTCACTGTGTTATTACACATTTTACACCCTGAACCCGTCCCTCCAGTCTGTCAGTCTGTCACCAGGAGTAGCGTGAGGAGGGTGTGTTGGCTAACGTAAGTAAAAATGCTAAGCTAACGTCAACCGAGACAGTAAAAAAAGCTCAAAGAAAAAGGAAAATTGTTTTGTGCAGTTTATACCTCAGAATATGAACAGGTGGTGAATATGGGTTTTGTGGGATGTTGCTATGGCATTCACAGTGGTTGCTATGGCGTTCACAGTGGTTGCTGAGGGGCTGGGTGCTTGGTGGTTGCTATAGGGTTAAAGGTGGTTGCTAGGTGGTTGCTATGTCTTTTGGGCTGTTAGGACTTTAGTTGCGAGTTGTAGGTGTTGCCGACGGTTGCTAGGAGACTGTAAGCTGGTTGCTATGCCAGTAGAATGAAATATGATCACATATTATTAAATATTTGGTGGTTTTGTTTGAGGAATGACTGAAACAACAAATCGATTATCAATAGTTGCTGCACAGGTAAGACAGGAAGTAGTTTTAACCTGATGAAGCTGCTGGTTTGATTCTTTTGAACAACAGTTTGTGTCAGCAGAGGTCAAAGGTCACTGACTGTACTTCGTTATATAAGCGGCTCCTCTGATATTGATTATTGATCATCTGACTGGTGCAGGCAGAGTGACATCAGCATGAAGAGTTATTACAGCCTGGGGGGGCGACTGACCTCACACTCTGTCATTAACATCAACCACTGAGCCAAATCAGCTGTTTCCCAACTGGACAATAATTCACTTCAGTCTGAATGTGTCCCTAAAGGTAGCCTAAGTCAGAAAGACACACACACACACACACACACACACACACTGCAGGTTAACTTCAGCTCATTAATCTCCATGGAAACAGCATCCATTATTAACCAACTTTAAACTGAGACTTCCTGGGAGGGAGGAGGAGAGCTAGCTGCTAACCAAAGCTAACAGAGAGCTTCCATCAGATCAGACACAGGCTGTGTGTACCAACTTGTATGACTCATGTGGGGACATTAGTATGTTTACATACTCACACTTTGGGGACTCGCCTTCCTTTTGGGGACCAAACTCAAATCCTCATAAAGTATAAACACATCGAGTCTCTCACCAACAACCTCTGTAAGTAAATTTATGCAAACTGTCAACATGAAGCTAATCTGAACAGTTTAGATCTACGTTGAGTGATCTATAACGATGCTATTTTATAGTTTCATTTCATGAAGATGATCAAATGTTTTAAATATTAAATATTGATCTGAAAAGTAACTATAGCTGTGAAATAAATTTAATGGAGTATTAATAAATAAGTAAATACATTTATTTTGAAATACTTGTGTTAACCACAGACCTGATTTCAGACGACTAAACACATTTAAAAAAGGTTCAATGAGAGGAACCAGAGGAGCAAAAATGCTAACTCCGTTCAGTCCTGCAGAACTCTGAGACTCTTTAAAATGCAGCAGACAGACAGCGAGAGGTTAATGTGTGAAACAGTTTTACACTCACAGTGACCCCCTCAGTCCACCAACCAGCTGTTAGCCTCAGTACTGCAGGATTACACAGAGTACAGCGTGTATTTCATGGGTTTAATGTGTCTGCAAATACCGCCTCACTTCCTGTGAGCAAGGGGAGTACTCAGATCTTTTACTCAAGTAAAAGTACAGTTTTCTCAGCTTCATGTAGTAAAACTATAACGCAGTTTATTATAATACTACTATAAAGAAATACAACACAATACACATCAACCGGAGTCAGAAGTAGAAAAGGGAAGAAGTGAAACACAGAAGTAGCTTTTTATTTCTGTCTCACTTCTGCTTTTAAATCTGAACAAAACTATTTGGACATCAGTGTCTCGTCTGAGTAACCAGTGCAATGCTAACAGCAGCCGCTAACGGCTAATTCAGCTACTGTTAGTGGAGACGATCTGACTGAATGTGAACTCATATTGATAATAAACACAGCTGAGTGACTGAATACATGACCACATTATACTTCCTGTTTACATCTCCTAAAGCATCATGAGAGCAGGATTAGCTCCTAATGAAAGATATAGAATCACAGTGATACTGACTTTTATCATGTTGCACCGTCAATATATTTTACTGAGATGATCAGAAACCTCTTGTGAACCCTGTCTTTAAGGAAATCAGTTGATTTCCATGTAAACGAATTTGATTCTAATAATTTGACTGAATTTGCATTTTAATTTGGTAGTTTCAAAGGAAACCTGCAGCAGGAGGGAGGATGTCATTTTAAAGGAGCAGTTCAATATTCAGTTATGCATAACTTTAACCCTTAATATGATTTAAAGGGGTGAGTTGTATAATAATTATATAATAATTATCTCTAGAGACCAAAAGGCTGTGAACATGTTTATTTCTGCAGTTTGATATGGGGCCTTATGGAGACTAGTGGGCGTTAGAGGAACTGCTGTGGCTGATTGGCTGTATAGTGTAGCAGTGATGCATGCTCGCAGGGGATTTTATAACACATTAAATCCAATGATAAAGTTAGCTTAGCTGTGGTATGTACGTTAGCATTGGTTGTAATCGTGTTGGTTCAGGAAATCAGATTTTCATCGAGATCGTCTCAGTTTATTTGGGGTTAGCTTGTTGTGCTAGCATGACGTTTACTTGTTATTGGACTGTTTCTTTGTAGTTAACTTCTTTTACCATGTTAGCAAAATAGTTGTTACCTTATTTTATCGAGTCTTTAACATGTTTTTAGATTGTTTCTTTGTGATTATCAGAATCAGAATCAGAATCACTTTAATAAATTATTTAAAGCATGTGGGTAGGCTAGTTGTTAGCTTGTTTTAACTCTGTCTGAAGATGTTGATTGATTGTTTCTTTATAGTTAGTTTCTATTAGCCTGCTATTAAGTCTTCATCAGACAGTTTATTTCTTCTATATATACTTACAGATATATGTATTGTGACCTTTGACCTGTGTGACCTTTGACCCGTGTCCTGCAGGTGAAGGAACTGGGTCGGGCTGACGAGCTGTTGGATCTGTCGGACTACGAGCGCTGTGAAGAGATCAAGAAGAACAAGAGTCGCAGCAAAAAGAACCACAGCAAGTTCAGACTGCAGCGCTGCAGCACGCCGGGCAACACGGTACCTGTCTGTCTGTCACACACCTGTCTGTCTGATACACACCTGTCTGTCTGTTAACAGCTGACAGACAGCTGGAGCACAAATACCCAGAATTCTTTGGGAGGGGATCAGGTGTCCTGCAGACAGGTGGCAGCTTCTATTTCACACACACACACACA